GAGTGAAACAAATGACTGCTTCGCCTGGATGTTGAATGCCATTCATTGGCAAGAAGAGAATTTCTTCCGAGTAATATTTCAAAACTAAGCAACAATAACAGCAAAAAAAAAAAAAAAAAAAAAAAAGGCAAAAATAATTAATGGATTTTGTAAAACAAATGTATGGTCGGAACTTTTCTTGGCCAACCAAAAAAAAAAAAGAAATGTTGAGTGAATGTCTGGCTGATGGGAACAATGCATGGCCTTAACTTAATTTGATTTTAGCCATCATTACCCCTGTTCCCAAAACGGGAGGGTGTGTGTTGTGGCGCGGGAGTTTTGAGGCATTTAAATGTTTCCTTTTGTCGCTGTCAAATTTTAATGGCCTCAACAGCCCAAAAACGAAGACCAACCAACTGTCATTTCATGTTCTTCCCAAGCATTGCTGGGAATTCTTGTATTTTTTGGCTGTTATTTCGCCTTTCCGGTTCGGTTTGCTCTCCCTCCTCCTTCTTCTGTTTTGGAGAAGAATAAGAAGTCGAACGACGAAGAAGTTTTCTTAAGTACTTTTCTTGGTCTAATTACAGAAACAAAAAAAAAACGAAGAACGAAGATCTGAAAAGAAATGTTACAATGATATTTGGAAATGATGATTGCCCTAGGGGGTGATTCTGTGGTCTATGAGGTCATTGGACGAAAATAAGTGTTATGAAATTTTGATTGTGGTTTTGGGAGAAAGAAATAATGAAGGAGGCAAGAAAAGACTTCCAAGAAATGACTTTTTGAGTTACAAAAAAGAGATGCGAAGACCTCTAAGTCCAGCCATAGACAGCAGACAATCTCTGGATCTTTCAGAGACTATTGAAGACCTCTAGACCTTCTCTAGACAATATAAGACCTATAGACCTATAAAGAAACTAATTTATATTGGGCGCCACTTTGAGTAAACAAATATATAATTTTCCAAGTTCTCATTAACTTTGGGCGCCACTTTTACCGACATTTTCCGGCTGTTTCTTAATTTTTGTTATTTTGAATATTAAAATATTGTTACACGTTGGGCGCCACAATTCTGCATGCCTGAATAAATCAGTACTAAAATTGGCTTGGTTTCCGATGTAGCCACAAATGAACTTTACCCCACATTGGGCGCCATTTTTATAAGTTCTTACGATCTCTGGATCTTTCATAGTCTATTGAAGATCTCTAGACAACAGACGATTTCTGAGTTTTTCTTAGACTATTAAAGACCTCTAAGCCTTCTCTAGACAATATAAGACCTATAGGCCTATAAAGAATCTAATTTATATTGGGCGCCACTTTGAGTGTACACTTGAGTCACCAAATATTTAATTTTCCAAGTTCTCATTAACGTTGGGCGACATTTTCCAGTTGTTTCCTAAGTTTTATAATTTTGAATATTAAAATATTTGTATACGTTGGGCGCCACAATTGTGTATGCCTGAATAAATCAGTACTAAAATTAGCTTGGTTTCCGATATAGCCGCAATTGAACTTTGACCCACTTTGGATGCCATTTTTATAAATTCTTACGATCTCTGCATCTTTCATAGTCTATTGAAGGTTTCTAGACAATAGAAGACTTCTGAGTTTTTCAAAGAATATTAAAGACCTCTAGACATTCTCTAGACAGTATAAGACCTATAGGCCCATAAAGAATCTAATTTATATTGGGCGCCACTTTGAGTGTACATTTAAAGCAATAAATATTTAATGTTTCTCATTAACGTTGGGCGCCACTTCTACTGACTTTTTCCACCTGTTTCTTAACTTTTTGTTATTTTGAATATTAAAATATTGTTACACGTTGGGCGCCACAATTGTGTATTCCTGAATAAAGCAGTACTAAAATTGCTTGGTTTTCGATATAATCTCAATTGAACTTTACCCCAAATTGGGCGCCATTTTTATAAGTTCTTACGATCTTTGAATCTTTCATAGTCTATTGTAGATCCCTAGGCCTTGTTTATGTTGGGCGCCAAATTCAAATTATATTTGAGTCAATCATAATTTAATTTTTTAAACTTTCATTAACTTTGGTCCAGGTCTGGCTTATGTTGGGCGCCACATTAAGTGTACATTTCTGTCAACAATTATTTAATTTTCCCAGTTTTCATTACCGTTGGGCGCCACTTCAAACGACATTTCCCAGTTGTTTCCTAAGATTTTTTCATTTTGAATATCGAAATATTGTTACACGTTGGGCGCCACAATTGTGTATTCATAAATAAATCCATATTAAAATGGCTTAGTTTTCGATATAATCTCAATTGTACTTTACCCCACATTGGACGCCATTTTTATAAATTCTTACAATCTCTAGATCTTTCATAGCCTCTTAAAGGCCCCTAGGCCTTGCTTCTGTTGGGCGCCACATTTACTGTATGTTTGAGTCACACAATATTACATTTTTTAAGTTATCATTGCCACAATTGAACTTAACCTCACATTGGGCGCCATTTTTATAGGTTATTATTTAACGCCGGGAAACATATGCATATTATTGTGATATATTTTTTTAAATAAAATTTTAGCATCAACACCCCGTTAAATAATTGGAAATTTAGAACTTTTAATTTTTGTAAAAAATCAGACATTTTTATAATTTGACATAATTTCATGTTGGGCGCCAGTTTTGTTTATGTTATCAATAATGGTTCCAATTGAGATCTAACAATGCGAGATATGGCCAGGGATATTCTAATGGCAGTTGTTGTATGAATTCTGGCAGCTCTTGTATGATTTCAGTTTTAATAATTAGCATAGCCCCTCGTTGGGCGCCATTTTGGTGAAGTGTTTTTCTTTAATATGGAGTCATATTAAAAATCATTGTTTGAGTTTAAGGATACAATAGAGGACCGTTGAGAATTTTTCTTATGAAAAAAAACAAATTAAAAAAGAATTGATCACAGCCCCACATTGGGCGCCAGTTTTTCTTAATATTACGTTGATATCTGCAAAATGGGTGCCTTATTAAAAAAAATTTTGCTGATGGTGCATTAAGTGATCCCTTTTAAGAAATTATATTTTGCAGAAAATTTATTTGGTTTTAGAATTGACTGTGACACCCCCCCCCCCATGTTGGGAGCCATATTTATTAATTTTACCATTAATTATTCCAATTGAAAAGTAATACTCCTAAATCTGACACGAAATGGCAACACTAACATGATTAATTAATTTATACATAGCCCTCGTTGAGCGCCATTTTGTTTAACACTTTCAATGAGTCTCAATGTTTGGGATTACAACTTTTGAGTATCTGTGACCCCATTTTTAAAACTATTTCTGTGAGAAAAAAATTCTACTCAAAATTGACCTGGTCCACACTCCATCTAATCAAGACAAAAATATTGGTATGGGCAAAATTACAAGAAAATCTAACATTTATATCCATTTTTACGAGAAATCATAAATTTGTTTTTCAAAATCTTGAAAGCTATGTGGGGGAGGTACCAGAAGAAATGGTCCGATATCTACCATTTTTGTAACAGACCTTGTGCTGACGGAAATATTAAGATGTGCTAAGTCTGAATGGAATCGGATGTTTATTTCGCGTTTTGTGAGCTTCAAGGATATTCAAAATTTTGACCCCTTGTGGGAGAGGTACCAGAAGGAGTGGACCGATCTATCTCATCTTCACCTCAGATCTTGTGCTAATAGAAATAATGGGATGTGTAAAATTTGAAGAGAACCAGATACTTATTTTGGAATTTATGATCGATTTGGTTATTCCAAACTTTGACCCTTTGTGGGGGAGGTACCAGAAGGAATGGTCCGATCTCCACAATATTAATAACAGAGCTTGTGTTGATGGAAATATTGCGATGTACCAAGTCTGAATCGAATCGGATGTTAATTTCGCGTTTTATAAGCTTCAAGGATATTCAAAATTTTGACCCTTTGTGGGGGAGGTACTGGAAGGAACGGACCGACATATTCCATCTTCACTCCAGACCTTGGGTTAATAAAAATATTGTGAAGTGTGTAATTTGAAGACAATCGGACTCTTACATCACATTTTATAAGAGTTGTAATTATTCAAAATTTTGACCCTTTGTGGGGGAGGTACTTGATGAAGTGGACCAATATTGTCCATTTTTGCACCTGACCTAGCATTGATTGAATTATTAGGATTTGCAAAGTTAGAGCAAAATCGGATTATTACTACTCTTTCTGTGTAGTAAAATATATTTTTTGGAAATTTCCACCTTTTGTGGGGGAGGTACCAGAAGGGGTGAGCCGATATTGCCCTCCTCCGAACTCGATCTAAGTTTGACAATAATATTGCGATGTACCAAGTTTGGACCAAATCGGTTACTCCCTTTGAGAGTTATCGTGCGCAGCAGCCAGACAGACAAACGGACATCCCCAGATAGACTTCTCCAAATGTCCTGAAACGGATTTGGCCCAAAGAGTCCTAGGGCCTAAAACTGTTATTTCGATGAGACACGTTTTGGCCGTATTAATTGATATATATGTCCTCTAGCCATATGGCTGAGGGTATAAAAATGTACATAGTCTTATACTAAAATTTTACATAGCCCCACGTTGGGCGCCACCTATAAGAACTTTCCCCAAAGAGACCTAGGGTCTAAAATCGTTATTTCGATGAGGCACATTTTGGCCATTTCAAATGATATATACCCTCCACATGGCTGAAGGTATAAAAAGTTACATGGTCTTAAAAAATAAAATTTGACATAGCCCCACGTTGGGCGCCACCTATAAGAACTTTCCCCAAAATTCTTTATTCTCAACCCTATTATTGTGGAGTACCTCTATGGCATGGAGTACCAAAATGTTTCCTTGTAAAATTTTGGATTTGTCAGAAATCCCTGCCAGTTTTGACCCTCTCCCATTTGGGCGCCACTTCACACACAATATGTCATTAGGTTTCCGATTCAGTTACCTAATGAACCTCCACACACAAAAATAGCCATGAAAAGTGATGTGATAATCGTTTGCTGACTAATCAACTTGGCTCTAGCTCTACTTACCATGAGGTTACTTAACTTCAAACTTGGCGCCGTATCCAAGAGAAATAATTGATTGCCATTCGTACAACTATTGCCATTATGGCTGTTCAGACTACTACAACTACTGCTGCTATGGCCGTTTTGGAGCTCATAACGCGGGTGCTGCTGTTGCTGATGATGCTGATGATGATGAGGATGATAGTCATCATTATCGGCATTGCCGTTGACATGGCTATCATGATCATCGTCATGGAGGGTAGTTGTGGCGTTGTTGGCATTTAGCCCCAACGATTTGAATGCGGAGAAGCCAGTGGTGGTGGTGGAGGTATTGTTGGGATGTTGTGGTTTGGCAAAAAAGCGATCATCTTCATCATCTAAGGTTTCGCCATTAAAACGATGATGATAATCATCCTCATCATCATCATGATCTACAAGTGTTATATTTTGAGGAGAATGAAAATGATGATGATTTTCACGGTGACCGCCATTGACGTCATGGTGTTCCTCCTCATCAACATCATCATCATCACCACCACTGGCATCCTCCACAATGTAATCATTGTCATGGACATGCTCATTATCATCATCATTATCGCAAATATCCAATGTGGATGACATATTTTCCACAACAATTTGAGGCCAATTTCTTTTGCCATTTAAAGGCGAGGCAAGTGGTTTCGCCGAGGAGGAAGAGGTGGATGATTTGGATTTGGTGGTGTTGGTAGTAGTGGTGGTGGTGGTGCGGGTTGTTTTTGTGCCAATTTCTCGGGATGGTTGAAATTTAGTTGTGGTTGACTGATTAGTTTTTGTTTTCTGTTGCTGATGTTGTTGTAGGAAGCCATTTGTGGCTCTAAAGGGGGACTTGGTTGTGGTGTTGGTGGCGGATGCGGAGGATGTGCTGTTGGTGTTGTGGTTTTTGTGTTGTTTTTGTTTTTGTGAAGATTGTGAATGAATATCTCTTACTGCGGACGAATTCAGTGTCTGCTGCAACAACGCCGATGTGGGGGATGGTGAGGCGGTGGCCGATGACGAGGGGCTCGACCATCGCGATGAGGTGGTCTGGACCGTCTGGGAGCGTATCACTTGCATTGCCGCCCCGCCACTTGTACACCGTTGTATGACTTCGATTTGTTTGCGTTGCGTCTGTTGGGTACCGTTGGGTTGGGAGATGTTTTGTGAATCGGATATCTGCAAAGGAAGGGTGAAAGGGGGGAGGGTGGAAAATGAGAAAAATGTGAAAGTATGAGTTTTTAGAGTTTTTAAAGAAGAAAAACATAATTTTAAGACTTTTTTTAAGGATTAACGTTAGATTTTTATTTAAAATTATTTTTTCAATTATTGACAGAAGTGGATTTTCTTTAAAAATATATTTTTTATCCAATATTTTTTCCAATTATTGACAGACGTGGATACATAAAAAAACTATTTTCTTCAATAATTGACAAGCGTGGATTTTTAAAAAAAAATATTTTTTCAATTATAGACAGAAATTATATTTAATTATAGACAGGATTTAAAAAAATATATTTTTTTAATTATTGGCAGACGTCGATTTTGAAAAAAAAAATAAATTTTTCAATTATTGGCAAACGTGGATTTTTTAAAAAAAATTTAATTATTTTAAAAGACGTTGATTTTTTAAAAAAAAATATTTTTTCAATTATTGACAGACGTGGATTTTTTTAAAAAAATATTTTTTCAATTGTATACCGACGTGGATTTTTTAAAAAATATTTTCTTCAATAATTGAAAGGGGAGGATTTAAAAAAAATATATTTTCTTAAATTATTGACAGACGTGGATTTAAAAAAAATATTAATAAGTGGCAGACGTGGATAAAAAAATATTTACTTTAAGTATTGACAGACGTGGATTTAAAAAAAAAAAATTAATTATTGACAGACGTGGATTTTTTAAAAAAAAAATTTAATTATTGACAGACGTGGATTTTTTAAAAAAAATATTTTCTTCAGTTATTAACAGACGTGGATTTTTTAAAAAATATTTTTTTTAAAAAGAAGTATTGACAAACGTGGATTTTTTAAAAAATATTTTTTCTAAAAAGAAATATTGACAGACGTGAATTTCAAACAATTTTTTTTAAATTATTGACAGACGTGAATTTCAAACAATTTTTTTTTTAAATTATTGACAGACGTGAATTTCAAACAATTTTTTTTAAATTATTGACAGACGTGAATTTCAAACAATTTTTTTTTAATTATTGACAGACGTGAATTTCAAACAATTTTTTTTAAATTATTGACAGACGTGGATTTTTTAAAAAATATTTTTTCTAAAAAAATATTAACAGACGTAAATTTCAAACAATTTTTTTTAAATTATTGACAGACGTGGATTTTTAAAAAAATATTTTCTTGAATTATTGACAGGGGTGGATTTAAAATTAAAATATCTTTTCAATTATTAACACCTAGCCTTTTTAAAAAATTGCTTCAATTATTGACAGACGTGGAGTTTTTTAAAAAAAATATTTTTTCAATTATTGACAGACGTGGACTTTAAAAAAAAATATTTTTTCAATTATTGACAGACGTGGACTTTAAAAAAAATATTTTTTCAATTATTGACATACGTGGATTTAAAAAAAATATATTTTTTTAAATTGTTGAGAGACGTGGATTTTTTAAAAAATATTTTCTTCAATTATTGGCAGACGCGAATTTTTTAAAAAAAATATCTTTTCAATTATTTTCACAGACGAGGATTTTTTAAAAAATATTTTTTCAATTATTTTCACAGACGTGGATTTAAAAAAATTATTTTTTCAATTATTGACAGACGTGGATTTAAAAAAATTATTTTTTCAATTATTGACAGACGTGGATTTAAAAAAATTATTTTTTCAATTATTGACAGACGTGGATTTAAAAAAATTATTTTTTCAATTATTGACAGACGTGGATTAAAAAAAAATATATTTTTTTTCAATAGTTGACAGGCGTGGATTTTATAAAAAAAATATTTTTTTCCAATTATTGGCAGGCGTGGATTTAAAAAAAAATATATTTTCTTAAATTATTGACAGACGTGGATTTTTAAAAAAAAATATTTTTCAATTATTGGGAGACGTGCATTTTATAAAAAAAAATATTTTTCAAGTATTGACAAACGTGGAGTTTTTAAAAAAAAATATTCTTTCAATTATTGACAGATGTTGGTTATTAAAAAAATAAATATTGACAGACGTCGATTTTTTAAAAAAAATATTTTTTTTTCAATTATTAACTGACGTGGATTTAAAAAAAATATTTTCTTTAATTATTGACAGGCATGGATTTTTAAAAAATATATATATTTTTTTCAAGTATTAACTGACGTGGATTTTTTAAAAAATATTTTCTTCAATTATTGACAGGCGTGGATTAAAAAAAATATATTTTTTTTAAATTATTGACAGATGTGGATTTAAAAAAAAAGATATTTTCTTCAAATATTGACAGGCGTGGATTTATAAAAAAATAATTTTTAACAATTGACAGACGTGGATTTATAAAAAAAATAATTTTTAATAATTGACAGACGTGGATTTTTAAAAAAATAATTTTCAATAATTGACAGACGTGGATTTATAAAAAAAATAATTTTTAACAATTGACAGACGTGGATTTATAAAAAAAATAATTTTTAACAATTGACAGACGTGGATTTATAAAAAAAATATTTTTTAATAATTGACAGACGTGGATTTAAAAAAAAAATATTTTTCAATAATTGACAGACGTGGATTTATAAAAAAATTCTCTTAAAATTTAATTTTTTTTTTATAACTGACAGACGTGGATTTATAAAAAAATAATTTTTAACAATTGACAGACGTGGATTTATAAAAAAATTCTCTTAAAATTTAATTTTTTTTTTATAACTGACAGACGTGGATTTATAAAAAAATAATTTTTAATAATTGACAGACGTGGATTTTTAAAAAAATATTTTTCAATAATTGACAGACGTGGATTTTTAAAAAAATATTTTTCAATAATTGACAGACGTGGATTTATAAAAAAAATTCTCTTAAAATTTAATTTTTTTAATAACTGACAGACGTGGATTTATAAAAAAATTCTCTTAAAATTTAAATTTTTTTTAATTACTGACAGACGTGGATTTATAAAAAATGGTATTAAAATTTAATTTTTTTTCAATTATTGACAGACGTGGATTTATAAAAAAATTCTCTTAAAATTTAATTTTTTTCAATTATTGACAGTCGTTGAATTTTTAAAAAAATATTTTCTCCAACAATTTACAATAAAAACAGACGAACGTATTCGGCTTCAAAAAATATAATTTTTAAATATTATTTCCCTGTGATATTTTATTTCTACGTCACCAATGACTCACAAGTCAATTTCAATGCCAGATATGAGGACATAATTTTCTCCTGCTTTGTTTAGATAAGCGTATGGTTCTTAAAAACGACACAAGAACGCCACATGCCCAACTGTTTCGCCTTAAGGCATCAAATCGTATTCACGAGCAAACTATTTTTGGTTGGCAAAAAAAGAAAAAACCACGCCACAATGATAATTTCATTAGTGGTGGTTCTTTTTTTTTTGAGAATCAGGGGGATAATTACCGGATTTTGTTCTTATGTTTCATTGGTGTTCTTTGCCAATTCATTTTTTTTTGTTCTGGTCCATTCAGCTCGTTTAAAAGTCGTCAACCTTCGGTGAGCCAGAGTATTTTTAAACTAAGAACTACACCCACATTATTATTGGCAACAATTTCCTTTTGATTCTTGGCGGGTTTTTGTTGTTGTTGCCATCATGCATATATTGTTGTTAATTATTAACAACACTTTTGGTTTTTTTGTTTCAATTAAAGTTGCTTTTTTGGGTTCTTTGTTTCGTGTTGTATAGAGTTGTAAGTTGGAAACAAGATAGTGACATTAATGGGATTGGAAAAAATGTCGTTTAATATATTTTAAAAAAAATCCTAAAAAAAAGTAAATTAACGATGCGACAAATTCATTAAAAAAATATTTGTAAAAATTTAACGTCTATGAAATTGTGAATCTTAGAAAAAAATATTTTTAAAAAATCCACGCCCGTGGATCATTGAAAAAAATATTTTTAAAAAATTTAACGTCTATGAAATTGTGAATCTTAGAAAAAAATATTTTTAAAAAATCCACGCCCGTGGATCATTGAAAAAAATATTTTTAAAAAATCCACGTCCGTGGATGTTTGAAAAAAATATTTTTAAAAAATCCACGTCCGTGGATGTTTGAAAAAAATATTTTTAAAAAATCCACGTCTGAGGATCTTTGAAAAAAATATTTTTAAAAAATCCACGTCTGAGGATCTTTGAAAAAAATATTTTTAAAAAATCCACGTCCGTGGGTGTTTGAAAAAATATTTTTAAAAAATCCACGTCCGTGGATGTTTGAAAAAATATTTTTAAAAAATCCACGTCCGTGGATGTTTGAAAAAATATTTTTAAAAAATCCACGGACGTGGATGTTTGAAAAAAATATTTTTAAAAAATCCACGTCCGTGGATGTTTGAAAAAATATTTTTAAAAAATCCACGTCCGTGGATGTTTGAAAAAATATTTTTAAAAAATCCACGGACGTGGATGTTTGAAAAAAATATTTTTAAAAAATCCACGTCCGTGGATGTTTGAAAAAATATTTTTAAAAAATCCACGTCCGTGGATGTTTGAAAAAAATATTTTTAAAAAATCCACGTCCGTGGATGTTTGAAAAAATATTTTTAAAAAATCCACGTCCGTGGATGTTTGAAAAAATATTTTTAAAAAATCCACGGACGTGGATGTTTGAAAAAAATATTTTTAAAAAATCCACGTCCGTGGATGTTTGAAAAAATATTTTTAAAAAATCCACGTCCGTGGATGTTTGAAAAATATATTTAAAAAAAATGGATCTTTGAGAAAAATATATTTAAAAAATCCACGTTTGGTCTTATCTTCAAAATTTAATTTTGGCCAAATCCTGGCCATTGGTCTCTTTAAAAAATATATATTTTTTTTAAATTCACCTTCTTTGCTGTCTTCTAAAATATTTCTGTAAAAATCAACATCTCTTAGTCTGCAAGCATTTTTTCAGTCAGGGAAACCTAAATATCTGCACAAACACACACATGTGCACCAACAACCTTTGTTTTAGTCATGATTTTGAACTTAAGGTCTTGACGTTGTCTTCT